GTGTGTACTTATGGTAGTCAGGTTGGTAGAAGTGTGTGTGTACCATATACCTCAGTTGTAGGACTAGTTCCGACCCGTCAGGTAGAGGAACACACGTGATGATACAATGCCACCATGTTGAGGAGTATTTCTTATAAAGTGACAAGGGATACAAAACAGGTCAGATCTCTTGTACCATATCATGGAGTTGAATTTTGGTGTTAATATTTGTAAATGTATCGAGTAAAATTGTTTTGTTTGTATAGATTTACTAGTGACAAGATTTCACTGAATGATATTGATAAACAGTAGGCACAATCCAACATGTTCAGTCTCTAAACACTATTATTGGTGTAGCAATGGCTCTTGACCAGTACATGACACTGTGTTTATTTAGGTAATGGTTCAGGTCACTACATGGGTCATTTTTCGGTTGATTGACTTTCAAGTAATAGAATATGGACACCTCTAAATGATTTCTAGGTATAATCTTGTACATATCTCTTAAAGCTGAATTTAACTATGGCTTTCTGACTGATCTGATTTAAGAAATAATATCAGTCTACTTCACAGAAGTCCAGTGTTATATCATTAGTGAAGATATTGATAGCTTCATTAGTAATAATAATAATATTTATTCAGGCAAAAAGACAACAGTACAGTACTTACAATTTACATGTATAGTTACAAAGTGATTATATATATATATATACATCTATATCATAAGATACAAGATAATAGTGTTATAGTACTTATGCCTGTTGTTGTCGCTTTGCCTGGGTTGACCCATCAAAGCTATCAAAGCTTATTTCCAATGGGGTCCCTGAAATTATACTGGGCTGTGAGCTGACTAAGTAAGTTCTAAAAATGTATTTTGACGTTAGGACAGACATGGGTTGTCTCCACAACAGTGTATGAGTGACTGAGTGTAATGACCAGATGGGAGCAGAGTTTCTGTTGTATTTCTAATAGATCACAAATTCATATTACATTGACACTAGGTGAAGCTGATATTGGTATACAGTAGTCATTAAGCTGTATATGCGTGTTGATCATGTTCATACCCGGACTATTACAAGCACCTGTTCAAATATTTTTTGTGTCATGTTTTTACTTTTGGAAAACATCATATTCTTGATTTTATAATTTTAATTTGGTGTGAAATATCTACTGTACTTGTGTGTCAAATTGTTATTTGGTTTCGGTTTTACGATACAGAAATATTCAGGTGTCATAAGATTGTTTAGTCCACAGACCGCAAGTTATCTTTGATTTTAATGAGTATTTTTGTACACTCAATTATCTTTATAATCATGATACTGAATTCTATTTTTACCAATCGGCAGTTTGATTGATTCAACCATATTTGTATAATTTTCATTTTTCGTCTATTTGAAGGATGTGGAGGCTGTTGAAGTGACATTTCTAAAGTATCGAGGGTGTCACGCTTCACATTTCATGTAATACTTTGATATATTATATTATAAGTCATTTCTTGACGACGTCACATGATTGTCTTGGTAGTGAAAAATGTGTTGGCGTAAGAGTCCTGAGAATGTGATAATTAGACTTTATCCAATTAGATAAATCAATAACATACTTCACTGAAATTCATGTAAGAACCGTTATTTAAAAATAAGAATTACATGCTACAAAAATATGTGCTCTGCTTTATAATTTTCACAGGACTTACAGCCAAAACACTAAAAAATACACGTGTTTTAATCCAAGGAAATACTGGTGGTGTGAATAGGTAGAAGTAGACCTAGAAGGGGTTATTGATTTAAGTGTATACCATTTGTAGAAGTAGACCTAGAAGGGGTTATTGATTTAAGTGTATACCATTTGTAGAAGTAGACCTAGAAGGGGTTACATTGTAGATTGACTTTGTAAAAGTTGATCAAAATGTATCTTTACTATGACTGATCTCTTTCACATTTGATACAAAATATCATCATGTAGTTGTATTTCCTAACCTTAGTCCTGTCCAGATATCTCTCCTGTTTGAAGATTTAAAAAAAAGTGATATCTAAGTGAGATGAAGCTGTGTGTTTTACTTATAAAATACATATTGATTGGAATACTTCAATATTTGATAAATACAATACAATGTTGTATCTTATGTCTGTATTCTTGGTCCTCCTTGACTCCTACCAAGGAGGAGATATATACCCCAGGTAAGATTATATTGGCAGACTGCCATGGTCCATTTGGACCTTTGGGTCAGCCTTCATAAACAAATTGTGTCCCCTCACAGGGGGGCTCTGCACTCCGCTTCACACATTCATCCTTCAAATATTTTACTATGTAGATACCTAAATAGAATACATACTCACTGATGCTATATTCGCTTAACACAGGTATGGATTAACACACATATACAGTGGCCTACACTTGTTTACACAACCACAGATCCACACCAAAATATGCACTAATCACATGTTATATATTAATAAGGTGCATGTACTCCTTTAAGGGAAAGACATACAATCTGGGCCTGTATAATCATACTATAGTTTAACCATATGTACAGCTTACACACACTCACAGGTCATGTACACATACCGATTCTCAAACTCACACACATACATCACATTGAATGTCATATGTCCTCTTACATTTCTTACTCAATAGAAGAGAGTCCAGACCCGACAAAATCTTTAGAGTTGGTAAATTACATGGTAAATATAAACATGATAAATATATAAAGACTGTTCTTAACAATATTCAATGATCTGCCCCCCACTGGTTCATGTCTCAGAGCATTGACAAAAGCCCCCCATTTTCGATGAAATTGACCAAGTGAGCCTGTTTGTTTTGCTATAAAGAATTCCATTTCCAAAGTTTTTCTGAATCTGGTCTTACATGCAGTAAAAGTAGGAACAACATCATTGATTCTACAGTAATGGATGTAGTATTTAAGTATTAAAAGAAAAAGATTCAAGATATCGCTAAAATTAGCATTTCCAAAAATTACGCCTGCAGTTTGTAGAACACCTACATGTTGATCATCATAATCAGAATACCATGAACTAAATTCTTCTATCGCCGCATTGGAGTAAAAACAGAAATAAAGAATATGCTCTATTGTTTCTTCTTCTCTGTTACAAAAAGTACACAGATTACTCTCTGTAATTTTTATTTTAAAAAGTTTTGAGCTTGTCATATGTATACGATGATTAATCTTATTCTGAAAGGCTTGTAACTTAGTCTCTTGTGTACAATGAAATGCAATATTATAAATATTTTCAAAATCAAATTCATCAAGTAACAGAGCTTTCTTCCACTTTTCCGAAGTCTTAACGGGTTCATGTTTTATACTGTTTACAAAAAGCTTGTATATGAATTTTCAGTCTTTCAGATCTAACATTTTCTGAACAATATCTTTTTTGATTGGAGTAATTGTTTCACCATGCACAAAAGCAATTCTGTATTCATTTTTAGCTCACCTGGCCCAAAAGGCCAAAGAATTTTGTTCATGATATTCTGATTATGATGATCAATATGTAGGTGATCTATAAACCTTTAAATGACTTCTTCCAAAATACCAGAAGGAATAGAATCATTACATTTGGCTGGAAGGTTCCTTTGATAAAGCCTAACAAAGTTCGCACAAAGAAATGACCTTGACCCATATTGAAGGTCACAGAGGTCAAATGTGTTAAAACATTTAAACGACTTCTTGCAAAATACTGGAAGGCCTAGAATAATTATATTTGGCTAAGAAGTTCCATTGATGAAGCTCAACAAAGATTGCAAAAAGAAATGACCTTGACCCATATTCAAGGTCACAGAGGTCAAATGTGTTAAAACATTTAAACGACTTCTTGCAAAATACTGGAAGGCCTAGAATAATTATATTTGGCTTAGAAGTTCCATTGATAGAGCCCAACAAAGTTTGCAAAAAGAAATGACCTTGACCCATATTCAAGGTCACAGAGGTCAAATGTATTAAAACCTTTAAACGCCTTTTTTTTAAAATACTGAAAGGCCTAGAATCATTATATTTGGCTGGTTGCAAAAAAAATAACCTTGACCCATATTCAAGGTCACAGAGGTCACATGTGTTAAAAACTTTAAGCGACTTCTTTCAAAAAACCGAAAGGCCTAGAATCATTATATTAGGCTGCTATGTTCCTCTTATGGTGTCCTACAAAGTTTGCGAAAAGAAATGACCTTGACCAATCTTCAAGGTCACAGGAGTCAAATGTGTTAAAATGTTTAAACAATTTCTTCTGTAATATCAAAAAGCCTAGAATCATCATATTTGGCCAGTATTTCCTTTAATGAAGTCCAAGAAAGTAAAAAAAATGTCCTTGACCCATAGTCAATGTCACAGGGGTCAAATGTGTTAAACTTGGAACATATGCACAGATATAGTAATGTTGGTTGTTGGTGAGCGATACAGGCCTTCTGGGCCTCTTGTTCCAATTTCTATTCATTTTCTGAAAAATGGCATGGTATTCAATCAAATTTAAATGCACCACATGCCTGAGCACTTTCCAAGGTTTGGGTAATCCATTTATAAATAAATAAATCAGATAAAGCTGTGTTTTACCACAAGTACCCATACATTAATTTCTGAAATAATGTCATAAGTTTGAGAACATCTCAACAGATTCACTCCATATATATTTAGTCTATAGTATCATTAAGCTCTACAAATAATTATTAAGGTTATGGTTAACAGGTCAGAGGTCACAGTTGACTACCTCTATAAAGTCATCAAACTCATATATTTATGTCCATGGGAGACGTGGTGTTTCTTTCTAACTGATTATTTTTTATAGTTTTTTTTTTTTAAATATTTGTGATTATAATTTGGTTCTTTATAATATTTTGTTGTTATTTATTGGATCTGATCAGATTATATAATTATGTCAGTCATTAACAAATTTATTGTCATTAATTTGTTTGGATTAGGGAGAGTTATGCCCCCTTTCAGAATGAAGTCAGTTAACAGTTGTTAAATTGATTCACCTTAATTTAACTTAATTTATTTGTAGGAATATGTAAGAGTTATGTCCCCTTCCAGAGTGACAAGTGCTGAGCCACTATGTTGTTGTGAATATGAAAATATCAAAGGAGAGAAAAGTCATATACTTGCCTGTTGCTGTGACTGTGAGGCCGTCGATGAGGCTTTTGACAGGTATTGTGTATAATTTTTTGTTAAGCTATCCAATTACTGCTCATGTCGAAAGGGATTATTCTTTCATAATCAAAATAAAATAAAAAAGAAGAAGAGAATTTCATGAGTGGATGGGTAACGTAGTGCAGTGGTAACATTCTCACCTTTCACCCGTGTAAATTACCACGGTTTGCTTTCCTAAACTAATAAGAAAAGGTATGAGGTCACCTGCCTGACTACGCAAGTTTTTCCCTGTCATGCACTTTCATTAGGGCCAGCTAGCGTGATTAATGATTGGGGAAGTTATCATAACTTATATCCATCACTCTTGTTGGCAGGCCTCGAATTTAAGGCTTTTTACTGGCTGTTTGCAAGTAGAAATCCAAGAATTGCAAGTAAAAAAATAATGACTTGCTTTTTTCAGCAATTGGATTCATCAGATGCAAACTGTGAGTGCCTGTCTATTCCTAACATTTCACAGAATTAAATTGTTTTGATTTTCAAAGTGTAAATATTGGGACAAAGCAGATCTTCTATAATGTATAATATATATAATATATTGGATGAAGCAAGGCAATATATTATAAATCACAAAACAAAACACATTATTTGAACATGGAGATTTGTAATAATAGCAAGTAAACAGTCATTTTATCAAGTACAAATTTAAGGCACTTGCTGTTTTCAGCAAGTGACAAAAAATATTAAATTCGAGGCCTTGCTGGGACAATGAAAATGTGGAAGGAGTTTCACTGTGGGAGGAAACCTGATTGCACAGGAATAACCGATGTAGTCACCCTATACCTTTTCATGCTTGTATGTAGAACAAATCACGGATCATTAGGTGAAAAATACATTATCACTGCACCACCTGCTCACCATATCAGTAAATAAAGGATCTTTCTTGATCAGATTATGTTTAAGATTTAAGAAATGGATTTACAAATTTTTCTTCTAGGGAGCGTCTGAAAAGCTAAAATGAAAATTTGTGTCTAGTTTTCTAATCCCATGTGAAATTGAAACATGTCTAAGATTCTCTTTATCACATGGAATTTTAATCTAGCAAATGATAAAGAAAACATAAGTTGCCCTTGTCAGTCTTGAAGCCATCTTCACTCCGTATTATTTGAGTATCACTTCAAATTACTTGAGTACCATCCCATATTACTTGAGTATACTCCCTGCTTAAAGCTGATATTTCAGAAAGTTTAACATGTAAATTTTACAGGTGCATAACATGTCAGCGAATCCCACCAAGGATGCAGGCAAGAATTTTAAACACGATAAGTGACCGATGTCGTATCCCGGGGATCTTCGGACATGGGGCAATGCAGCTACGCCTGGACATTATTGCACCACTGGTCATGGTGCCGTTCTGCATTTTCATTGCCACTATCGGACCAATCATGACAGTGCTGTCCTTGCTCCTTATGCCGATATTTATGTTATTATTTTATCGGAGTTGGCGTAGAAACACGGAAAAAACTCGGACACCTTTCTTTTTTATTTGGGGTTTAGTCTCAGTCATATTGATGTTTGTAACATTTCAGTCTTTCATTGTAGGATTTCGCGAAATTTTATTGTGGGAAAATATTTTATTAACCACATCGTGTTTCGGTATGATATATTATATGATTCAAGCCAAGTTAAATGGTCGATCTTTACGTCCTTATGTATCATACAAAGCTCTACAAAGGAAAGATGTGTATAGTTCAAATGATAGGCGCAGTAACTCAATTGAAAAACAAGAAAAGGAGTACACACAAGTTGATATGGAAGAAACCACTGGAAACAGTAAAGTTCAAATGTCTTTAGATGAAAGGACTACTGAAACTTTACCAGAGGAGGACATCAAATGGGTGGATTCTCGGCCAATAGTGGGTAAAGAACTTTCTTTTCTATTTATTAGTAAATTGTTAAGTGATTCATTGATGTCATGCTTTACTGCATGATGTTATTCAGCCGACATGTGATGCATGTGATCTGTTCACTTATGTTAGATTTCGTGATTTCTGTTATCATGCAGCTTCAAAAGTATCAAACACATTTAACATATGTACTCGACCTCAGGTAAAAGTTCAAATGGTGTGGGAATGATCCCTGCATGGAAATAGATTTTGTTTCCCAGGAATCTCAGATCACAGCACATCTGTGCTGCTCTAGTTATATCTTTTAGCAATACACTTGTTTTTCCTCATTTGTTAAGGTGAGATACACCTCTTTTATGTTGTTGAGTGAGGAAGTCACCAGCTGCTGTTGAGTGAGGAAGTCACCAGCTGCTGTTGAGTGAGGATGTCACCAGCTGCTGTCAGGAGACTATGTCTTATAATGACGTTGAGTGATGTTGTTGAGTGAGGAAGTCACCAGCTGCTGTCGAGTGAGAAAGTCACCAGCTGCTGTCAGGAGACTTTGTCTGATCATGATGTTGACTAATTATGTTATTGAGTGAGGAAGTCACCAGCTGCTGTTGAGTGAGGAAGTCACCAGCTGCTGTCGGTAGACTTTGTCTTATAATGACGCTGAGTGATGTTGTTGAGTGAGGAAGTCACCAGCTGCTGTCAGGAGACTTTGTCTTATAATGAGGTTGAGTGAGGAAGACACCAGCTGCTGTTGAGTGAGGAAGTCACCAGCTGGTGTCAGGAGACTTTGTCTTATAATGACGTTGACTAATTATGTTGTTGAGTGAGGAAGTCAACAGCTGCTGTCGAGTGAGAAAGTCACCAACTGCTGTCGGTAGACTTTGTCTTATAATGACGTTGACTAATTATGTTGTTGAGTGAGGAAGTCACCAGCTGCTGTTGAGTGAGAAAGTCACCAGCTGCTGTCGGTAGACTTTGTCTTATAATGACGTTGACTAATTATGTTGTTGAGTGAGGAAGTCACCAGCTGCTGTTGAGTGAGAAAGTCACCAGCTGCTGTCAGGAGACTTTGTCTGATCATGATGTTGACTAATTATGTTATTGAGTGAGGAAGTCACCAGCTGCTGTCGGTAGACTTTGTCTTATAATGACGTTGACTAATTTTGTTGTTGAGTGAGGAAGTCACCAGCTGCTGTTGAGTGAGGAAGTCACCAGCTGCTGTCGGTAGACTTTGTCTTATAATGACGCTGAATGATGTTGTTGAGTGAGGAAGTCACCAGCTGCTGTCAGGAGACTATGTCTTATAATGACGTTGAGTGATGTTGTTGTGTGAGGAAGACACCAGCTGCTGTCGAGTGAGGAAGTCACCAGCTGCTGTCAGGAGACTTTGTCTTATAATGAGGTTGAGTGATGTTGTTGAGTGAGGAAGTCACCAGCTGCTGTCAGGAGACTATGTCTTATAATGATGTTGACTAATTATGTTATTGAGTGAGGAAGTCACCAGCTGCTGTCGGGAGACTATGTCTTATAATGACGTTGAGTGATGTTGTTGAGTGAGGAAGTCACCAGCTGCTGTCAGGAGACTATGTCTTATAATGAGGTTGAGTGATGTTGTTGAGTGAGGAAGACACCAGCTGCTGTCGGTAGACTTTGTCTTATAATGACGTTGACTAATTTTGTTGTTGAGTGAGGAAGTCACCAGCTGCTGTTGAGTGAGGAAGTCACCAGCTGCTGTTGAGTGAGGATGTCACCAGCTGCTGTCAGGAGACTATGTCTTATAATGACGTTGAGTGATGTTGTTGAGTGAGGAAGACACCAGCTGCTGTCAGGAGACTATGTCTTATAATGAGGTTGAGTGATGTTGTTGAGTGAGGAAGACACCAGCTGCTGTCGAGTGAGGAAGTCACCAGCTGCTGTCAGGAGACTTTGTCTTATAATGACGTTGACTAATTTTGTTGTTGAGTGAGGAAGTCACCAGCTGCTGTCGAGTGAGAAAGTCACCAGCTGCTGTCAGGAGACTTTGTCTGATCATGATGTTGACTAATTATGTTATTGAGTGAGGAAGTCACCAGCTGCTGTCGGTAGACTTTGTCTTATAATGACGTTGACTAATTATGTTGTTGAGTGAGGAAGTCACCAGCTGCTGTCGAGTGAGAAAGTCACCAGCTGCTGTCAGGAGACTTTGTCTGATCATGATGTTGACTAATTATGTTATTGAGTGAGGAAGTCACCAGCTGCTGTCGGTAGACTTTGTCTTATAATGACGTTGACTAATTTTGTTGTTGAGTGAGGAAGTCACCAGCTGCTGTCGGTAGACTTTGTCTTATAATGACGCTGAATGATGTTGTTGAGTGAGGAAGTCACCAGCTGCTGTCAGGAGACTATGTCTTATAATGACGTTGAGTGATGTTGTTGAGTGAGGAAGACACCAGCTGCTGTCGAGTGAGGAAGTCACCAGCTGCTGTCAGGAGACTTTGTCTTATAATGACGTTGAGTGATGTTGTTGAGTGAGGAAGTCACCAGCTGCTGTCAGGAGACTATGTCTTATAATGATGTTGACTAATTATGTTATTGAGTGAGGAAGTCACCAGCTGCTGTTGAGTGAGGAAGTCACCAGCTGCTGTCAGGAGACTATGTCTTATAATGACGTTGAGTGATGTTGTTGAGTGAGGAAGTCACCAGCTGCTGTCAGGAGACTATGTCTTATAATGAGGTTGAGTGATGTTGTTGAGTGAGGAAGACACCAGCTGCTGTCGAGTGAGGAAGTCACCAGCTGCTGTCAGGAGACTTTGTCTTATAATGACGTTGACTAATTTTGTTGTTGAGTGAGGAAGTCACCAGCTGCTGTTGAGTGAGGAAGTCACCAGCTGCTGTCGGTAGACTTTGTCTTATAATGACGTTGACTAATTTTGTTGTTGAGTGAGGAAGTCACCAGCTGCTGTTGAGTGAGGAAGTCACCAGCTGCTGTCGGTAGACTTTGTCTTATAATGACGTTGACTAATTTTGTTGTTGAGTGAGGAAGTCACCAGCTGCTGTTGAGTGAGGAAGTCACCAGCTGCTGTCGGTAGACTTTGTCTTATAATGACGCTGAGTGATGTTGTTGAGTGAGGAAGTCACCAGCTGCTGTCAGGAGACTTTGTCTTATAATGACGTTGAGTGATGTTGTTGAGTGAGGAAGACACCAGCTGCTGTCGAGTGAGGAAGTCACCAGCTGGTGTCAGGAGACTTTGTCTTATAATGAGGTTGAGTGATGTTGTTGAGTGAGGAAGTCACCAGCTGCCGTTGAGTGAGGAAGTCACCAGCTGCTGTCAGGAGACTTTGTCTTATAATGACGTTGACTAATTTTGTTGTTGAGTGAGGAAGACACCAGCTGCTGTCGAGTGAGGAAGTCACCAGCTGCTGTCAGGAGACTTTGTCTTATAATGACGTTGACTAATTTTGTTGTTGAGTGAGGAAGTCACCAGCTGCTGTTGAGTGAGGAAGTCACCAGCTGCTGTCGGTAGACTTTGTCTTATAATGACGTTGACTAATTTTGTTGTTGAGTGAGGAAGTCACCAGCTGCTGTTGAGTGAGGAAGTCACCAGCTGCTGTCGGTAGACTTTGTCTTATAATGACGTTGACTAATTTTGTTGTTGAGTGAGGAAGTCACCAGCTGCTGTTGAGTGAGGAAGTCACCAGCTGCTGTCAGGAGACTATGTCTTATAATGACGTTGAGTGATGTTGTTGAGTGAGGAAGTCACCAGCTGCTGTTGAGTGAGGAAGTCACCAGCTGGTGTCAGGAAACGATGTCCTATAATGATGTTGACTAATTATGTTATTGAGTGAGGAAGTCACCAGCTGCTGTTGAGTGAGGAAGTCACCAGCTGCTGTCAGGAGACTATGTCTTGTAATGACATTGAGTGATGTTGTTGAGTGAGGAAGTCACCAGCTGCTGTTGAGTGAGGAAGTCACCAGCTGCTGTCAGGAGACTATGTCTTATAATGACATTGAGTGATGTTGTTGAGTGAGGAAGTCACCAGCTGCTGTTGAGTGAGGAAGTCACCAGCTGCTGTCAGGAGACTTTGTCTGATCATGATGTTGACTAATTATGTTATTGAGTGAGGAAGTCACCAGCTGCTGTCGAGTGAGGAAGTCACCAGCTGCTGTCGGTAGACTTTGTCTTATAATGACGTTGACTAATTTTGTTGTTGAGTGAGGAAGTCACCAGCTGCTGTTGAGTGAGGAAGTCACCAGCTGCTGTCGGTAGACTTTGTCTTATAATGACGCTGAATGATGTTGTTGAGTGAGGAAGTCACCAGCTGCTGTCAGGAGACTATGTCTTATAATGACGTTGAGTGATGTTGTTGAGTGAGGAAGACACCAGCTGCTGTCGAGTGAGGAAGTCACCAGCTGCTGTCAGGAGACTTTGTCTTATAATGAGGTTGAGTGATGTTGTTGAGTGAGGAAGTCACCAGCTGCTGTCAGGAGACTATGTCTTATAATGATGTTGACTAATTATGTTATTGAGTGAGGAAGTCACCAGCTGCTGTTGAGTGAGGAAGTCACCAGCTGCTGTCAGGAGACTATGTCTTATAATGACGTTGAGTGATGTTGTTGAGTGAGGAAGTCACCAGCTGCTGTCAGGAGACTATGTCTTATAATGAGGTTGAGTGATGTTGTTGAGTGAGGAAGACACCAGCTGCTGTCGAGTGAGGAAGTCACCAGCTGCTGTCAGGAGACTTTGTCTTATAATGACGTTGACTAATTTTGTTGTTGAGTGAGGAAGTCACCAGCTGCTGTTGAGTGAGGAAGTCACCAGCTGCTGTCGGTAGACTTTGTCTTATAATGACGTTGACTAATTTTGTTGTTGAGTGAGGAAGTCACCAGCTGCTGTTGAGTGAGGAAGTCACCAGCTGCTGTCGGTAGACTTTGTCTTATAATGACGTTGACTAATTTTGTTGTTGAGTGAGGAAGTCACCAGCTGCTGTTGAGTGAGGAAGTCACCAGCTGCTGTCGGTAGACTTTGTCTTATAATGACGCTGA